CACTTCTCCAAAAAGTCTCTATGACTAAGATGGTGCAACTCAACAGTACTAATAGATTAAGGAAACCTTTTTTTTTTTTTTTGAGACAGAGTCTTACTCTGTCACTCAGGTTGGAGTGCAGTGGCGCAATCTCAGCTCACTAACAACCTCCGCCTCCTGAGTTCAAGCACTTCTGCCTCAGCATCCTGAGTAGCTGGGATTACAGGCACGCATCACCACGTCCAGCTAAGTTTTGTATTTTTAGTAGAGATGGGGTTTCACCATGTTGATCAGGCTGGTCTCGAACTACTGACCTGGTGATTTTGCCTCGGCCTCCCACAGGGCTGAGCCACCGCACCCGGCCCATATTCTTATGTAAATTAAACAATATTTTACTTAAATGTTTTTTCCCTACAGTTTTCTGTCCAAATTAAACTTACATAATTCATTTTGCATATTATCCCTTGTGCCACTTCTTTGTGTAAACTGTGTGTCCACATTGAATTTCTCTAAGTCTAATAATCATGCTCATTAACTCAGATTATAAAATGAAGTATGAAATTTGTTTGTTTGTTTTTCTTTTTGATGGAGTCTTGCTCTGTCGCCCAGGCTGGAGTACAGTGGCACCATCTCAGGTCACTGCAACCTCCGCCTCCAGGTTCAAATGATTCTCCTGCCTCGGCCTCTCCAGTAGCTGGGTTTACAGGCGCCTGCCACCACGCCTGGCTAATTTTTGTATTTTTAGTAGAGACAGGGTTTCACCATGTTGGCCAGGCTGGTCTTGAACACCTGACCTCAAGTGATCCCCACCTGCCTTGGCCTCCCAAAGTGCTGAGATTACAGTTTTTTCTTTTAATTGAAGGAATTTGGAATATGAACACCAGCGCCAAATTTACGTGGATTATCGAGAAACTTTGATATAATGGTTTCTTTCATTAAGCAAAAAGCCCGCTAATTTGCACAGTCTGGTTGGCATTCAATAGTTCATTAATATGAATTATATAGCACAACATATATTTGTCAACATGTATTTAAGCCTTATTTACTCTTATTAATAAACTATGTAGTACAGAGCATGTTTCCAAAGTATAAAAAAGGAAGCATTAGATCAGCTGATAGTCCAAGTTGATTCACTTACAAAATTAGTGTGGTTTTAAAAAATTCAAGAGCTACAATGTAAAAACAAGTAAAATTATATACCTTCAATTAAGCCAAAGAAACCAAAATTAATCTCTTACCTTAAAAAGAATAAGTCAAAAAACCTTTTTAAATTCTAATAAAGAAGGATGTAGAATGAAGATAAAGCTACAAAGAAACACGACCCAATGGAGGTAAGATGGCCTTGCCATTTTCACAGACTAATATTAAACCTAATTTTGACCCAGCCACAATTCAAATGCCAACAGAGTAACAGCAGAGTATTGTTTGTCCTAATGTTCAAATTTTTGCCAAATTATCTGTTAAGAGGTAAAATGTTTCCCTTAATTTTCCCTTTCAAGCTTCTCAACAAATTTAATATTTGTGGGCCACATCTTCATGTCACTGAACTCATACAAAGAGAAAACCACACAATAATATCAAACTGAAAATTATATTTTATGCAATGTCCATAGAAAAAAATCATCCAGATACGTATGAATGATGGGATAAGCAGGAAAATCCTTTGGCTCTTTTTAAGTGTTTATGATTATGCACAGCAGAAAAGCATTATGGAAGCTCACAAGCTAGCTGAAGTAAGAAAAAACATGACTTTCACAGCCTTCAGGAGGGGTATCTCAAGCACAATCCAATCCTAATCAGTTGCTTCAAAAAAAAATCCAGGCCAGGCTTGGTGGCTCACGCCTGTAACTCAACACATTGAGAGGCCAAGGTGGGAGGATCACTTGAGTCCAGGAGTTTGAGACCAGCCTGGGTAACCATCGCGAGATTCCATTTCTACAAAAAGTTTAAAAATTATCCGGGCGCGGTGGCCTGCTACACGAGAGGCTGAGATGGGAGCATCTCTTGAGCCCAGGAGTGTGAGGCTGCAGTGAGCTATGATTGCACCACTGCACTCCAGCCCCAGCAACAGAGCAAGACCCTCCACCCTCCACACACCAAATCCGACTGTTGAAAATAATTCTACATAACTAACCTGTGGAAAAGGGTATATTAAAAGTACTAAAATTTTTCAGGCCGAGCGCAGTAGCTCACGCCTGTAATCCCAGCACTTTGGGAGGCCAAGACAGGCAGATCACCCAAGGTTGGGAGTTGAAGACCAGCCTTACCAACATGGAGAAACCTCGTCTCTACTAAAAGTACAAAATTAGCCAGGCGTGGTGGCACACGCCTGTAATCCCAGCTACTCGGGAGGCTGAGGCAGGAGAATTGCTTGAACCCAGGAGGCGGAGGCTGCGGTGAGCCAAGATAGCGCCATTACCCTCCAGCCTGGGCAACAAGAGCAAAACTCAGTCTCAAAAAAAAAAAAAACAAAAAAAATTCATTTCTCACTAAAAATAAACACTTCGATACTCTCATATATTCTCAAAATACTTTGGTTTCCACCTTCGTACACTTTGTTTTTAGGTTCCCCTACTCCCCCAAATTTAAAGGTAACATCCAAATCTCCCAAAGTCTGCACCAGAACAAATACTGTATCACTGACCACATCCCTAGGAATTAAGTTCCTTAAGGGTTTACATTCAACAAGGTATAGCCTCACATCTTGTATAACCTTGTATCCTAAAGAACACTTGGTACAACACCCTGGATATATCAGGAGCTATTAATATTTACTAACTCAAAATATAGTCCTTCATCACTTTGCAGTTCTGTTCTGTGCTCCTGAAACAAAACTGCATAAATTCTGCAAAACTCAAGGGACCTAAATGTGACAGAAACTTCACAGAATTCCTTATTATTTTATAGTTTACAGTCTTGTAGCCTTGCCCCTATTACCAGATGTAATGCTTTTTACTGACACTAGTATAGTGGGGTAGGAACAGATCTAGACAAAAGTGGACATCAGAACCTGTCAAAGGGGTTTAAAATTTATATTTTACATACCTATCCTTCATTAGTGTTATGTAACATTAATGTTCTAAAGTCAGTTATCTGTAGCAACAACTTAAGAGTTTTTCAATCTAATTCCCAGGAACATAAATGAAAACTGGTGCCAATAAAAAAACAAGCAAGCAAGTAAGCAAGCAGAAACGCTGCCTTGAATTCTGACAAAAAGGGAAGGATAGTTTACACCAACGCAATGAAAAATAAGCCTTTGTGTAGTCTATAAGAGTTTTTGAAATTGTTTCACTAAAGTCTTTAAAAGTGCCGGGCGCGGTGGCTCATGCCTGTAATCCCAGCACTTTGGGAGGCCGAGGTGGGAGGATCACTTGAGGTCAGGAGTTTGAGACCAGCCTGGCCAACATGGTGGAACCCCGTCTCTACTAAAAATACAAAAATTAGCCGGGCAAGGTGGCGCGCGCCTGTAATCCGGATTCAGCTACTCAGGAAGCTGAAGCAAGAGAATAGCTTGAACCTGGGAGGCGGAGGTTGCAGTGAGCCGAGATCACGCCACTGCACTCCAGCCTGGGCGACAGAGCAAGACTCCATCTCAAAAAAAAAAAAAAAAAAAAAACTTTAAAAGTCAAAGCAAACTGGTAAACCATTAGCGAAATCACAAGCTACCATGAAAAGATACACAAAAGTATCTGGCAACCAAAGTCTAGAGGTGGTTCCAGAGTGTGAAAGGTTTTCTGATTGCTAATAAACTTCATTATGCACCCAAGATATCTTCACTTAGCTGTGTCATTTCTAAAAAGGCAACAGAGTCCAGAAGTTTCAGTGAGCCAGTCCTGGCAAACTCAAATTATGAAAAAATATACCCTCTGCTTAAAGATTAACTACAAACCTACCCTGGGACCACCTTGCTTCAGTTCAGTTTAAAATGGTGCCTAAATTGAAAGGAAAGCCTGTAGCATAGAGAAAAAAAAAAAAAAATCAAATGGAAAAGTAAAAGTAAAAGTTTCTATTTCCAACGAACTGCGTCTCAGAAATCTTTCAGGCGATAAAGACTCGGAAGAACAGAGGGATCTAGCCCCATTCGCATTCTCAGAGGCGTGCGCACTGCGCGGAAAGGATGAATGAATGGAAGACCGGCGCGTGTGAAATGCAGCAGGTCCGGCCGGCAAGCCGACCGGCTACAGCGATCTGTAGGCCTCGCTCCTCCCCCTTCCCTCCTCCATGACAGCCCAGTCCCAAGCATGGAGGGGCGAGGACAATGTGATACCCCTTCTCACCACCACCATCCCTCATTCTACTTGGAGAGCTTCACCGTGACACTCGAGTGTTCTTTCCCACCCTAACCTTTCTCGCCTCCCCTGGCGCAAACACCGGCAACACTCCGGCGCGTTGGATTAACAGGCGCTCGCCCCTCTCAACTCCTCTAAGCGAGGTCGAAGCTCCTCCGCGCGTGCCGCGGTACCACTCCCGCCTAACCCACCCTCCGGCAACACTCGCCCACCAGCTCCACAGTCCACCGGTCTAAGGAAGACGTGCGCGCGCCCCGCACCCGAGCCCCGGGGCTGGGGCTCTGGAGAGAGAGAAAGACTGCCCCAGGGCTCCCTCCTCCATCTCATTCCAGGCCGGCTCGCCGCCCACCCTGCCTGCGGATCCCAGTGCTCGCTGGGAGCCGGCCCCGCGCCTTCCCATCACGAAGACACCATCCCCACACAACTAGCCCAGAACCCCAGCTACCCTCCACCCTGTAGACACCTCGCGGCTCCGCAGGAGGCGCCACGCCGCCCCTCCCCCACACCGCTCCCCCAGTTCTCGGGCCCCCACCAGAAAGTGTGCGCTACACGCCGCCTCGGCCAGCCTCCGGGACGTCCCCACTTGTCCGCGGGAGGTCAGGTCCAACATGAGGGGGAGGGGGCGGCAAGGGGTAGAGTGCGCGCCGGGAACGCAGTCCCGCGGAGTCCCCCAGTTAGAAGGGGGACGGAGCGCGGGGACCCGTGGGGGTGGGGGCCAAAGGCAATACTCACCGGTTCGACAGTCGCCATCTTAGATCGATCTGATCGCACAACCGCTCCAGAAGGGGGGGTAAGAGGAAAAAAATGAGATTCAAACCGGATTGGCCAGCTACTGACCACGTGATGAACGTGTCCGTTTGGCCCTGGCGGCGCCTGCGCAAGACTGCGGCTGCGTGTGTAACGAGAGGCTTCTGGGAAGTGGAGTCTCTCCCCCACCTTTTTTTTTTTTTTTTTAAGGCAAATTTTTTTTAAAAAGGACCGGTCACGTGGCTGATGGGTAGGGTGCGCGGTTCTCAACGCGGCGGACGCTCGCTTGCTGGAGGGTGGTTTCAGTCCTCTGCTCTTCCTCCTGGATAGCTGCGGTCACACTTACTGCCAGGCATGCCTACTGTGCCCTTTGTCGCCCTGTCCTCCCATCTTCCCCGGAAGGTTGGGAACTGCAGGCTCAGCACACACAATAAGGCTTCATTTGCTTAGTTGAGGTCCCAGGACAAGTTGCCTGTGTGTTTATTTAGTTTTCTTTTGACCTCCCACCATTTTCTCTTAGTTTCAAAAAGAGGCGGCGATGCAGAGTCCTTTAGGCAATCAACCCTCCCACGTCCCCCGACTCCGCTAATGCTGGTGGTCATTCGTTGCCATTTCTGCGAAAGGGGACGGACGGAACCGCTCGCAGTACCCGCTTGCCACCGGCTGGATGAGGGGGAGGGGACGACAGCTTTTACTGTCCCAAATCCTGAGATTAAGACCTCAGGGCTAAATCTTGGGTGGCAGTAAAAATTACTTGGAAGTTCTGCGCAACCGTTCCAATATTCTGCTTTAACGTGCACAGAAATAGCCTAAGTCCAGGTGCCAGCCAGGGAAGCCACTCCGGGCCCCGCTGACTAAGCCCTGGACTGATAGTCTGGAGTCGTTAGGCCGGGTCAGCTATGCCTCTTGACATTGACTCATTCTCCTTAGGCGAGTGACTTAGTGGTTCGGCGCCTCAGCTTTTTTATTTATGAAGCAAAGGTGATGATACACTTACCTCACAAGGGTGTACTTTGTAATGACTGTAACCGGCTTTGAAAATGCACTGGACTCTAGGAATGATTCATAATAAGCAACCGCGTGCCTTCCTAAAGATCAGCTGCTGCTTCTTTTTTGTTGTTGTTGTTGTTGTTGTTTTGGCAAAGTTTAAATTTTTTTCTTATGTTTACTTTGATTATGATATACACCAGTGTGGTTTTAAATGATCAGGACCTTTTTTTTTTCGTTTACAACTGCAGCTGCCATCAACAGAGGATTTAATATTCATGAAATTATTGTTATGCTCACAACAGTCACTGGCAATCAGAAATTTGTCCCCACACTGACATCCTACATTTCCTTTCCCTCTAAGTGCTATCATTTCTCAAGACCATGTTTTTGCACAGTTTGGCTACTAATACAACAAATAGAGATGAAGAAATCTAGCAGATTCCCAAGGTTCTAATGAAGAAGACAATGTCTCATTATTTCCCATGCTTTTAAATAATGTTGACACCAGGAAAAGGAGTATATGCAGGCTGCCTGTGCCTGTCTGCTTATAGTGTTACTGAGGTCCAGAGCTGTGTCATACCTATTATTGAGTACATAATGGATACTTGAGTTGACTAACACATAATTGAGGCTGTATAAGAACTCAGAGTCATTGCCTGTTCATATGTTTTGGTTTACCTGAATATCAGAAGTAATTAATGAAAGCTTTTGTCTAGTGGGCTTAGCTCTACTAGGTTTTAAAGTAGATAGAATTAACAGGCCAGGCGTAGTGGCTCACGCCTGTAATCCCAGCACTTTGGGGGGCCGAGGCAAGAGGATCACCTGAGGAGTTCGAGACCAGCCTGCCCAACATGGTGAAACCCTGTCTCTACTAAAAATACAAAAATCAGTCAGGCATGGTGGCACACGCCTGTAATCTCAGCTACTCAGGAGGCTGAGGCAGGAGAATCACTTGAACCTGGGAGATGGAGGTTGCAGTGAGCTGAGATCCTGCCACTGCACTCCAGCCTAGGTGATACAGCGAGACTCCATCTCCAAAAGAAATATAATAATAATAAACAAATAAGTGGATTTCTACTTACAGAGACTATCTATTGCTACTTAGACTATCCAAAACAATGCTGTTGATCGCATTGTTATCTTCTGCTGGTTAAAAGTGGTGTCAGGTTACCTTCTTTGAAGAGAAAAAGACAGCATAGGTGTCCTATTTTCTTCTTCCCTTCCTTTTCCCTCACCTCCCCTCTCCTCCCCCTCCCCCTTCCCTCCCCTCCCCCTCCCTCCTTCCCTCTCTCCCTCCTTTCCTCCTTCCTTCCTTCCTTCCTTC